CGTGTGTTATAAAGCTTGTTAAGTTTAAAGTGACTGTGGAAATTCTGTGTATTACAAAGTTGTATCAAGAAAGAATAAACTAGTTTTAATTAAGAAAGGACGTGTATTGCTGAAGTTCCTCAGAAAGAATTTATACCGGAAATTAACAAACGACCAGATATCTAACAATATAATTAGACTAGCGACAGTACCCGGCTTCGCACGGGTTATTAGGTTCATATAGTTTAGCGAGTGCATAAAATGTATTATGAAAGTAAAAATATCGATCCAATTTTAAACTTAAATCGTTTCTAAATTAAGGTATTTTCTTTTATATCATGAAAGATTTTAATAAAAAAAACATATTTAATCAACGGAGACTTTAAATTAAGAAATCAACAAATATCATTACAGTTTTGTTGTTTATACATTTCATTTTATGCTTTCAATACATAGCCTAACAACAATTATTTGGTTAAAATTTTGTTTCTAAGCAAAAAGGCATAAAAACAATTGTTCAAAGCTTTGTTACCAAAACGCACTGGCTTTTTTATATATTAGAAGTTGTTAATCTAACTGATATACTACTGGGTATACTATGAGACGCGCATGCACGTGGATAAGATAAGTAATAATACCCAGGTGCACATCTTCAGGGTCCACTTAGTAAGGGTGCAAAATTTCAGGTTTCTAGGTTCTTTCCTCTTGAAGTTATGGCGGTCAAACCCACAGACACGCCCTTTTATTATTACAGATTGATCAATTACATAGTTGGTTATGATTACATGATTAAGGAGTTTTTAACACTGGTCAAAGCACAGACTGTCCTCCTTTCAATTATGGAGTCCTATCGCAGCACACTGTCAGCGCACAGACAAGGAGTGTTTATACTATTATAGGATATGTTTCTTTTTATTAATGCTAGATATAGGGGTTTTTGACGCCACGTGATGAGCCTGTAGCTCAACGTTGTTTTTTTTTTGTTGTTGTTGAAAGATTGGGAACTACTTATTTAAATAATCTAAAAACACGACTTATTGTGTGGTATACAAAAATAGCATACAACTTGTACTTCCCCATTTTAATATACTAATTGTTTTCTGAATTAATCGGTTATTCTAAGTCTATGCAATTTTTGCCTAACACATGGTCCAGAAAGTTATTAACTTGATTTATTAGTTCCTTTGTCATTCTATGGAGTTAGCACTTGTTTTACCCAACGGATAAAACATCGTGGTTGTAATGTCAATAGCCAGTATCCTTTAATGGTTATCCAGAAGATAACCGAAGGTTATAGCCTCTCCTATGTTTGAATGGGAATGCTCAGTCGCGTGGTATCAGTAGCCATTATAGATAAATCTGGCATGTGTTTCATAAAGAGAACTGAGATTATATTGTTACGTCTCCGTTTGTTAATTGATTTTCCGTAACTTCGTTCCGACGAAACTTAAGCGACACAAGTCCTTTCTTAATAAAACTGGTTTATTCTTTCCGAATATAACTTTACCGATACACTTAACTTCAACAATCGCGCTAAAACAAACGCTAATCAACGAACGTCAACA